TGGTTAACACTTTTAGATCCTTAATATGATTGGCTGGATCTAAAAGTATTAACCAATCATACTGAGCGCTCACTCAACAGTTGTGTCTGCTGAACGCGGCCATAGTTAGCAGCAAGGGAATCGACCAATCGCAGCGTCGGCTTCGAAATGGTCTCGCGATCTCGAGGATTCCCAATCGATTGGCTGCTCTCGCCGCGCATCGCGGACTGCGCGTACCCCCTCTCGATGCTCAATCGCCGCGTCTTCCTCCGTGGTTACGTCACCGCGCATGCCCGGGCTCTTCCGGCGCCGCTCGGAGCACGCACCGCCACTGCCACTTCCTTTCGACAATTTATATGTTCGGCGCACGTGCTATCGAATAACGTCGAGAATTATTTTGCGACGTGGTGCAGCGAATCGTGCGAACACAGCATGGGTAAACCTGGTAATTTGGAATCGCGTATCGTTCATACATTTCGGATTTCCATCTCGCGATCGCTACCGGCGGCCGCGTGCCGGTCTTCTAACGAGTAGGCTAACCTAGGCGGGGAGAAGGACGCGTCTTGCGATCTGGCGCGTGGCCGGGATCCGTTAAATCGCGGCTCGATTGCCGGCCCTTCGACTCGTAACTGCTCTCGGGAGTGTTCGCGGCCGACGTACACGTATTGTTTGTGTCAGGAGACAAACGCTTGTTTCGCCGACCGCGTGGCACCTACTCGTTAACCTAATGATCCGACATTGCAAAATTAACGCGCGCACATCGCGGTGTGTAAATGAACGAACATAATTGTATCCTCCCCCCCCCCCTCTCAAGTCTGAAGCGAATTACTCACATTTCTATATCAGAGATTGTTATTCATATACTTTTCGTTTATTAATATATTAATAATATACTATTAACATATGTATATGTTATTTATAGAATATATAACAAATACATTATAAGAGATTTGCATTTTATCTAACCTAGTACTAGAAGCCCTTTTTGCTAATGTTCTTTTCGCATTGCAGCATTTTCACCAGGTAGAGGAGGAGGAGGAGGAGGAGGAGGAGGTCGTGGAGGCGGTCGCGGTGATGGTAGATCCTCCTTTGGAGGTAGATCGAGCTTCGGCGAAAACCGCGGAGGCCGCGGAGGCAGATCGAGCTTCGGCGATGGAAAATCCCCCCGCGGAGGTAGACCGAGCTTCGGTGGAGGCGGCAGAGGTGGGAGAGGTGGCGGTGCTCCACGTGGAGGACGAGGTGGCGGTCGGGGAGGAGGGGGAGGTGGCGGTTTTAAAGGCGGAAAGAATGTTCTAATATTACAGCATCGCCACGAGGGTGTGTTCATAGCGCGAGGGAAGGAAGACACGTTAGTGACCTTGAGCTTGGTACCTGGCGTGTCGGTCTACGGGGAGAAAAGAATCACCGTCGAGGTAAACAACTTGAACATTAATAACACGGCTGTAACGGTTTTAACTTCTACATCCGCGTGAATTAACAATGTATGAAATGACGCATGGCGCTGCGCAGCCTGAGAAGAACGACAACGACGATGAGAAAGTCGAGAAGATGGAGAAGATCGAATACAGAGTGTGGAATCCGTTCCGCTCGAAATTGGCCGCTGCTATTCTCGGAGGCATCGATCAAATTTACATGCCACCCGGATGCAAAGTGTTGTATCTGGGCGCGGCATCGGGCACGACTGTGTCTCATGTCGCCGACGTAGTTGGTTCGGCAAGTACAATTTTATTGTAAATCTAGAAACACAATGTACGCACCCATTTAGAACCAAATTGGCTTTTAATAGCAAATTTGGCGTCGGTAGCGGTGCTAGAACATTCACACATGCGCGTTTTTCTCGAATGAGTAAAATTTGTATTTTACTCACGAAAAAACGTGTGTACAGATTCCACGCTGATACCAGAACGTATGTGCCTAAACGATAAGGAATTGAGAATAAATATCTAAATGTTTTATATGTATAGGAGGGGACTGTCTTCGCCGTGGAATTCTCAAACAGAACGGGACGAGATTTAATTGACGTTGCCAAGAGAAGAAGCAACATCATACCTATAGTTGAGGACGCGAGACATCCTCACAAGTACAGAATGCTTGTGGGAATGGTAGACACTATATTCTCGGACGTCGCACAGCCAGATCAAGCTAGAATTGTTTCGCTAAACGCGCAAAATTTCCTCAAGAGCGGCGGACACTTTGTCATCTCTATTAAGGTAACACTTTCGTAATTACACTAACATTGCAAAATGTTTAAGCTTAGATATTATAAAGCATAATCTAATCGAATAATGATTTTAGGGCAGCAAACTTACCCCTGACTTTATATTTACATTGTTTATTTCAGGCAAGTTGTATAGATTCGGTCGCTTTGCCTGAAGCGGTGTTCGCGGCGGAGGTGAAAAAGTTGAATGCCGACTATTTGAAACCGCAGGAGCAAGTCACGCTCGAACCGTACGAGAGAGATCACGCCGTCGTGGTCGGTGTCTATAGGCCGCCGAAGAAAGGATAAAAATTATGTATATAGATACGTATAAGATATTTTATTTGAAAATAATGAGGACTGTTACATCGCTTTTCCTGTTTATCTTTAATAACATTCGAGATGTTACCTTCCAGGAAAAAAAGAAACATTGCACAACATTGTATGTGTGAGAACAATTTGAAACACGAAGTGACAAAATATACAAATAACATATAGTACGTAATATAGTTATAACGTATACATTGTATTTCCGCTGCTTGTGAAGTAAGAAATATACAACTCGAAAATACATTGATAGATTATTTGATTTATATTTTTGTACAAACAAAATGCCGTGTATAAAAATAAGAAAAATAGCCGATATCAATAATAAACATTATGCTGTGAAAAATGTTCATAATTGTCTTCGTACATGATATTCATATACATATATGTGTATGATATCAGTTTATATATGATCTTGAATAGAATATTGTTCTCGTACATAGAATGTAATGTTCTCTTATATTGGAAGGTAAGCTTTTGGATATTATTTAAATAAAAAGTGGTATAGACATGAAAAGACATTGCTTTTGTTAGCAGTGCTGATTAAATCTCTTCCTTCGAGGAGAATTCCATTGCGAACATAATTCCTTTCTATACATTTCTATGTAAATGTTGACATTTTCATTATTTTCAATAAAGAATATTTATCGAATTTACAGTGATGCGCAACGAATTGAGTTACTTCTCTTTCAGTACTATTAGAGCGAATGCGTTGCTTGTACTAGTGCACAATAAGGCTTGTTTGCAGTCAATTCTTGTATTTAAGGATCGCCTTAAATATCTCTTGAAATCTCTCACAGCCAGTAAAATTATCTATTTATCATTCATGCGGATAATTTTACGGCTAAATACTCTTTGAACATGTATTTAAGACAAAGTTAAATATAAAAATTTATTACAAACCGGCCTTAGTGTGCACTCGGTGCGCACTAGTGCAAGCAATCGAATTCGTTGTTAGATCTCTGACTTTTAAAAGAGAATTTCATACAGAAATCATTTATAATATGAAGCTAAGATCACGGGAAGTACGGTAAATATTATAAATCGTAATTTCTTTATAAATTCTTAAAATTAAATATTAATTATGTTTTATACAATATTGATATGTATTATAATGGAATAGATAAGATAATACTGTAATCGTAATTAAAAATGTTTCTAGACATTGTAATATAAGTATTCGCGCCAATTTAGTATCTGTTTCATTACACTATCTCCAAAGTTTTAATTACTCTTGAGTTTTTTATTTCCTAAATACATATACGTGTACATCAGTTTTACTCTCGAGATATTAGAATAATTTACTTTACTTTTCTTTAATTCGCGATTAAGTTGAATTTGAATATTTTCAATCACTTATTAGATATTGGCCGCGTTTCAACAGAAAAAGCTGCTTTGCAACTGTTGTAAAAATCCTAAATCTAATTGGCATATGCTCTTAATTATGGTAGAATCTAAGAGCATACTCCAATCGAATTTACGAACTTTACAACTGTTGCAAAGTAGCTTTTTCTGCTGAACGCAGCCACTGACTGGTTCTTTTATATGGAGACATGCGTCAATCGTCACATGTTGCAAGGTCTGCAAAGTTCAGGCTGGTTACAGCTCGAGCTAATTACTCCCTACAACTCTATAAATTTTAAATTGACAAGTTCATTTTCATATCTGGAATAACCCACAGTACAAAAAATTTTGGTGTTAATTACACTTGCATGTACACGCAGTTTCAAAAGTAAATCTTTCAAATGCGTATGAGAGAAGTGATATTTTTTATGAATTGGAAAAAACACGCAACTTGATCTTCAGTAACCGAAGCGGCGACAGCATGCTGCACGCACGTCCGAATGTGTCCAAGAGCGGTAAACTGAAGGATATTTCTTTCAGCCGGAATAGTTTTTATCCGTCTGATGCTCCCCCAGGATTTACATTCGGCGAACGCCGAAAGTTATTGAGCGAAATGCCAAGTTCTCAAAGATCGAGGCCCACGGTTGTGAACAAGATTACTTCGCCTAGTCGTCTCGTCGGTGGTGCGGATAAAGAACCCGTTATTCAAGAACCTTCGGCCACAGAATCACCGGAATCTGCTCAGAAAGCGTCAAGTCCGTCGTCTTCACTTTCACTTCCAACTCCGTCGACGTCATCATCATCCCCGGTAGAAAAATCTTCGAAGGAAACCGTGCAGCTGCAGGAGAATTCTCAAAATGAGCGGCTCCTTTCTACAAGTCAGCCGTGTTGCTTTGATGTTCTACAAACGTCAGGATTAGTCGGGTAAACTGATCAGTTACAGTTTAGTCTTAATAAATCATCTATGTAAAACGGTACTAAATATTATTTTGGATCGTTTACGGACAGGGACGGGAACGTAGATGAAATAATCGAATACATACACCAGAATCTTGTGGAGGCCGGCAAGGTATTAGCAATTTTAGGCGACAATTTCGAGCCCGATTTAAAGGTTGAGCCCCACATTCAACTAGAATGCCGTAAAACTGTCTCGACGTTTCGAAAGCGAAAGAGGAGAGGGTATAATTCATAATCTCCGTGAAAACAAATTCTCTCTTTTGGAAGACTTACAAGATGTAATTAAGAAAAAAAATGGATCTCTATCAAGTTCTTTTTACATGTAGATGTTACATAAATTGTTAACCGTACAATGGTCTATTCATACATTTCATTTGTTCAGTAACTAATTCTACCGCAAATATGTTTACTATCTAAAAATTGTTATGTCTCAAACTATTAATTTTTCGTCCCTTTTCACGAAAGCTGATGTCTGTCGACATCCTGGATCGAATCAAGCAATGGACCGACAGCATGCGGAATAAACTCAACGCCTGGAAAAATTAAGTCGACAATCTTCGCAAGGAATTGCGAATCCATCGTGCCGTGTCCTGGTAAGAGCACGAAGAGACGTGCAGAATCCGCTGTCGCGACGATCAGCAGTGCCAAGGTTTCACACACGGCAGGAATATGCAGAATGATCAAACTGATTGCACAAAGCGGCCTTCCACCGGTCCTTGCTGCTCTCTCAACAGCAGCCAGAAATCCATGGGTGGCGGCACAGTCTTTCTTCTTCATCAGGGTGATACGGGGAATCCGGACGCGCCGTACAAGGTACGTGATTCGACGATCAAAATTTCGAGATCACACGAAAAATTCGAGATACCGCTGTTGCCGAGATTGGAATGTGAATTTGGGTGACGTTGGATGCTCTCGGTGGGGGTTTGCTGTTCGTGATGATTAAAGAGAAAATAGAAAGGATCTAGCAAACAGAATAAAGCATGGAGAATATGAATTCGTTAACTTTGTTTATCTTTGTACTCGTATTCTTTTTTCTGTGCCAATTGTAGCGGGATTTTGTTATCATTTCTACGCATGTCGTGTATTTTACTAATATCTTGGTGTCACAAACGTGTAGAACTTAAAAATAAAAATAAATAAGTTTTAGTCGATCTTAACTGGCACGTGTTTGATAACAGTTAAGGTCGACTAAAACTTATTTATAATTGTTAATTATTACTGGCAACCTAAAGGGAATTCTATGTTTAAAAATAAAAGCTGCGATGATTTTGGAAAATGGAACGCGAGGCACGGAATTTATTGATTTCGTTACGTCGATACCGTGTACAGTCTCGCGTCGGCTCTCAATGATCTTATCGTCTCCCGACACTAAATTATAGTAATTAACGCGTGCGAGAAACGCATGATTCATTGGGAACGGGTGAACTGTTCAACGGGAACAGATACGAGGTCTACGAGAGACTAGTATGGAATTTGGGTTGGGGACATTATTTCGCGAGAAGTGATTTGTATCACGCAACCGCGTAACACGTGCTACCCGATGTTCGTGCGTGTAGGTCAAAGTGCCTCGATTAGGCCATTAACAGATACTTGACCGATTATCGTCCAAAGTCTCTGAAATCACGCGGTATTTGAATTCAACGACATGCTTATTGCGGGCCAAAATATCACGGGGGGGGGGGGGGAAAGGTGCATCCCAAATTGTGTCACGTGTTCCTGAAATGTAGGAAATTTCTTCGTTACTTTTGCGAAGAGAAAAGGGGGAAAAACTGGAAAAAGCCCCGTCATTGAAAATATAAATATAACTTTTTATATAATATCGTCAGAAAAATATTACAAATATTGAACGTTCACTTTCGTAAGTATAACTTGAACATCTCTCTCCAAGCCTTTCGCGTTCAGAAAGCATAATCGGAGAATATACCGAAGCTCTATCACTTCAGTCTGTTGAGGCAGGAAGTTTGGTGAATCACATACTTTAACAAAAATCTCTATGTACATAATAAACTGCGTAATCCTATTTATATATAATATAATTCGTTAAAAGTATATCAGTAAAAATTTCGATGTGAGGTGCGGTACTCGCGGACTAACCGCGAGTACGCGAAAAGTAAGGTGCAACAGAGGAAAAGTCTTCTATATAAATTTTCACTTTCAGATAAAACATAAATCCTTTGTAATCGCGCGGATTTAACGACGCTCATACGAGAAACAAATGCGCGAATAAGTAACATGGAATACGCAAAGTGAATTAACTTTAGTTTAATGATATGCATTCCGTGAATGTGTTGAGAATGGACCTCCGAGGGTGGACGACTTTAACTTTCCCTGGGAAACATCTCGACAGAGGTTCGATTCCTGAATTCGAGGGAGAAACGTAAGCGAGAATTCTGCTCTCACAGAAAAGTTGCAAGCCGATTGGCCATTCGCTTTGGTTTCTAGCCGATCAACTTTTGGAAGTGAGAGCGGAAATCTCGCACACGTTTCTCCTCGAATGAATCGAGCCCCAGATGGATAGGCAAATGCGGTGTATACACTTTGAAAACAATGTCTTTTGGAACTCGTCGCAATGCGCGATGCATGGCTGAAGCAGCGCGCATTTTGCAACGTTTCTTTCTCGCGAATTCTCTTAAAATTAAATCAAACTAAGGCGAGAAGATCACTCATTGGAGAAGAATGACATGTGGTGTTCGGTAATAAGCGCATTTGAAATAAGTTTTCTTACACAAAACTGCTAAGATGTGCGAATGTTTTTTTTTACTTGCGAGTAAATAAAAGGAAATTCTTTGATAAATCACATCTCAGAGTTGTACAGACGTTTAAGCTAATTTTAAATAGACAATTCATTTCGATGCGGCCTGACTCGAGGCACTGAATTAATTTACTGGTAATGTCGTTTTCGATTTTCTCTAAAATGCGCCTATTAATGAGCACCAAACGCGGCGAACGAAAGTAGGTGATCCCGCAACGCAAATCGGCGGCGATGCGAAACCCGTGGCTGTCGAGTTTCGCAGCTGCGGAAAACGCGTTAAAATACGCCGAATATCGCGGTAAACACGACATAAAACTATGATTCCCGAAAGCCCGCGTGGTCGATGCGAACGTACGAGGGAGTCGAGGGCGGTTCTCTTCAAAGAGAGTTCGCTAATCTACGGGATGTACTATTTATTGTCACGAGAATCGCGCCGACTGGTCGTACGAGTTCGCGATCGACGGGAGCCTTCGTTGAAAAATTTCCTAAAAAGCTCTTTCGTAAGCGACGAGCTCGCGCGGGCCGAAGGCGCAGCGAACGTGGACTCTTCAGGCAGGCTCGTCGCTGATCCAGCAGCGCGACCTCCTGCCGCCACGCACACTTTATCGAATAATTTCGTTCTCGGGCCAAACCACTCTTTCTTTTTTCGCTGTCCCTTCGCGCCGCAATAAATCGCTCGCAAGTCACCCGCCGTCGTCGTCGTCGTTCCGAGGACGCGCGGAGGGCGTCTTCGGGGAGGACCACGACGCGTCGTAATCGTCGCTATTGTCAGTGTCACTCGATCAGCAGTTTGAGCGCGTCCTTATCAGCGCGGAACGCGCGTCGGGCGTCGTCTCCGCCGGCCGTTATCGCGCTATCTTGGTCCCGGAAAGCGGATCGTCCCTGGACTTCCCCGATCGTGTCCGCGATCGCAGAGGCACGTGGAACCGTCGCCAAGGTCGACGTACGCACGAAGCGATTTTCAAGGGAAGAACAAAAGGAACGTGCGCGAAGCACCGCGACTTTCGCGGTGGCGGCGACGACGACGACGACGACGACGATCCCCAATGCCCGGCGAGCGCAGACTTGGCTGGGGTGTCACGCGTTGAAATCCCCTGGTCCCACGGTGGCCGGCGATGAGGACACCGCGATGCGACTCGGCCGTTTACTTGTTGTGCACCAGATTGAGGAACTCCTCGCGGGTCTTCGGGTCGTCCCGGAACACGCCCAGCATCGTCGAGGTCACTGTCTTGCTGTTGATCTTCTGTATCCCCCGCATTACCATGCACATGTGACTGCAACGATATGCAAAAGGATTTTTTTTCCCCATTTTCCTCCGACACTGCGGTGGGAATTGCGAAAAAAAGATCGTACCGTTAAATCTCGTGTCACATGTATACTTCGATTTGTTCGCCTCCGAGACAGATATTATCGCTCGCGTGTTCTCCGGCTTGGGGAAACACGCGCGTACCCCGGTGTCGCAACGCGATGACCGCGTGGTGCTCCGGCCTGTTATCGGCTTAATCATTTTTCGTAGAAGAAATTGTTTAGTCATCCGCCGCGGCGAGACGAGCGGACAAGCGGCGTCTGTAAGTGATTCGCGCGGACGAGAATAGCGTCGGTCCTCGCGAAAATAGCGCCGCGTTAGGAGTTATTAATTATCGGTTTATCTCTCTCGCGGGGTAAATCGGACGGCGTTATGAATTATTCGCGCGCGGGGGCCGGTAAAAATAGCGCCGGCGCGCGCGAAAATAACGCGCGGTAACGGCGTTACTCGCGCGACAAAAATATCCGGTCTCACAATAAATTTCTTTAATTAGAATTCGCCAGTTGTGCCGATTGCTAGTTTCCTACGTTGGTTAATTATTTACCGGCGACAGTAGGTCTTCATTCTGGTTAAAAATATCGAGTCCTGATCGCGCCGGACAAGTCGCGGCGACGGAACTATTTGCGCTCGCGATAAGACACTCTCGATTATCGTCGATACCTCGGGGAGGAACAAAAAAAAAAAAGGCGCAACCGTCGTGAGCCGCGCACGTGGCGTGGTCTTCCTGAATTATTCAGGATTGCATATCGGGCGTGCTCGCGTTTTCCATATTTAATCGCACGCGCGACGATTAATAACCCCGGCCGGCCGTCGAGGTGACACTCGCGCACCCCCGCTCGGAGATTTATCGGTCGCGCTAATGCACACGCCGTGTAACAAACAACCGGATCGTTACGTGAGTGCTTTAATTATGTGCAACATTCGCGCGCGCGGCACAAGGTCGTGTTCCTTCGCGCGATCGTTCCACCTGCGAAAACTATTCCGCGAGCCGCGCGGCCGCCGATCGAAAGGAAAGCGGCCTTAAAGCGGCGAACCGGCTCGGCATCGCAATATCGCCCGGAGTATCGACGTACAATTAAGAATCATCTCGCGCACACGTACACACATGTCACGATATGTGGCAGTTGTATTCTTATTTTCGATAAACAGAGAAAAGTCCTCTATTACGAGAGAGGATTCCAATACGAGACAGTAGGTTTTCGACGTCCAAATTCAATCGCAAATCTTTCTTCGCGACGATTACACGATCTCTCAATCAATTTTCCACTAACAGATCTCGCTCCAAAGGCAACAAATTCATAGAACCGACAGATGACGCATGTTAATTTAGCAGAAACTCCGCTATCTCATATTGAGAGCATAATAGGGGATCTCCCTTTGTATATTAAAAATATATAAATCTTTGAAAAGTGACGGTACATTTCGACAATTTTATTCAATAAGGTCTTTTCGTCGAAATCTTTATTTGGTTTTAACTCGGGAGACTGGCATCTTAAGCCAACGTCACACGATACTATTTGTCCTACTGGATTGTTTACGAGAACCAACAAGGATGCAGAGTTCTAGAGCAAGTGACTTAAGGCTGAATCCTGATTGGCTCTCGTAAGCAATCGAATGGGGGAAAAATAGTATCGTGTGTGCCGTTGGTTTTAGCCCAATATTACATTTGTCGTAC